CCCCGCCCCGCCCCCGCCGGACGTCGCCGTGGCGTCAGGCGGCGCCTCCGCCTGGTCACGCACTACTGACGCAGCCCCGCCCCCGGCGGTGGGAGCAGCACCCCCAGTGCGCCACGGCAAGAAGGCGGATGCTGGTTTTAATTTTTTTTTTTTTTTTTTCCCCCCAGTAAAAATCCCCTATTACAGTCCCCCGTGCCAAAAAGGCAACGTGAAGGGAAAACCTGGGCAGCCTGAGCGCGTCATGTTCTTATCACCTGCGCAAATAACACATCGGACACAAGACTGGTCTCATGCTATGAGCACAGAAAATTAATTAAACAAGAATTAGTGTTAAAACACTCTAGTAAAGACCGTATTGTACCCACAAAAAGATGGTGGCCAAGGAGAAGGAGCCATAATTTAAGATTTTCCCTAGGTTTTCAGCCGATCTAAATATTTGGTACACTTGTCCCTCTAAAAGCAGGAACAGAACATCTAATTTAGAGCTAATTACACCAAACGGCCCAACCACCAGAGCTGTTCAAGGTTCCTCACACCAGAAAAAGTTGTTCTGCCAAGGGTCAGAAAGTCTAATCCTGCTATTTCATCACTTGTTGGTTTATTCCCTACTGCATGTCTGCTAAATCCCACTGTAACTTCTGTTCCTCCTCAGTATTTTGGCAGGAATCACTGAGATAATCACAGACTCAGGCATATTAACCATTTTCTTTAAAAAAAAAAAACAAAAAAAAAACCAAAACAAACAAACCCAAACACCCCACCCTAAACTCTGGAGTAATGCAATGAGGACAGAGAATGAAAAAAAAAAAAAAAATCACAGAAGAGTTCAGAAAAAGGATTGCACCCATCTAGAAAAGTATGTGAAATCAGAATTCTTTAAGTCAGTATGAGAGCTGCATTTGGGTTTCAGTTAAAAGCAGGAAACACTCCCGATTTCCCAAGGTCCCACATCAGTCCCTCGAATAAGTTAATGCTGCAATATGGCAATGTTATTATGACACTGAGTTATTACACTACCAATGGAAGCTTGATGGTATGTTAGAGAACTGCAACAGTTTTTTAACCTGTGCTGTCTGGTGGAAGTTCAGTTCTATTTTTTTTTTTAAATAAGAAAAAATCCCCAGTATCAGTATTTGAGAAAAAAGAAAAAATCAGTATCTCAAATTTTACTCCTTTCATAGTCAAGAGACTACACTTCTTCCGTTACCAATAATTCAAAAGATAGGGGAACTAGCTTTTTGCCTTTAAAGCATTTTAATTTCTAAAACTAAAAAATTGCAAAGCTACCCTTTGACAGTTTAAATTTGCTCAAGTCTTACAGTTTTCTGACTACTGTGACATTTAGGGAACTTTAGTATCTCAAAATAGCATTAAAAATTGTAGGTAAGAAAGATCCAGGGGTGCCTGGCATTGACATTTGCCTATGTTACTAGTTAAACCAGTTACACAGGTACATTTGTTTCAAGGAGAGATTATCCAGCTGTTCAAGGGCTGTGTTCAGTATGCCCACAGAACCCAGGAGATTGATTTATCATCTCAAACCTGCTTCAAATTGGTCTGCAGAAGAACTAGTTCCATGACACAAGGCAGGTGGAAAAAAAAATAAAATAGGTGTATCACCATCTGTGGACAGACACAATTGCTACCTGCCATTACAGGCCAAAAATGTCCACCAATCCCAACACATGGCCACATTCACATGGATTAAAAAAGCCTGGAAGGGCCTACATTTTCATGTTATTCATGTTTTATAAAGTAAGTACAGTTCTGCTACTACTGTGGACAAAGAGCGTTTCTACAATGATACATCAAGAAAATTACAGTGTTGGTTTGAGTTTCTACCTTTTCAGGGAAATTTTCCTTACAAAGATTTGTAAGAAACTGTATTTCTAAAAATTTTTGATATTTACTTCACTAGCAAATTCCACCAAGATTGCCAAATAAAGCAAAACAATCTTACTAGCTCAGATGCAATCTAGTTCCACAGAAGGAATTTTTTTGAACCTGTGCAAAAGAAACAGACAATTTTATTAAGTTCTACTAGACACAAATATTTTAAATTTATTATTCAGAAACCTGAACAAAACTTTGAATATGTGGATGTTCATGTAATGCTAGCACCCAGAGAAACAGTCAGAACTCACATCTGTCATTAGTTCAGACAGTATTCAGGCTTAAAATGGTTGGTATACTAAACAGTATCAGTAAAATTAAAAGTATGATTAAACTAAAGTCTTAAATGTCATAGGTCTGTTACAGACTTCTAGGTCTGCTACAGGTATAGAAGTAGTTCCAAAGAATACCATAAAGATAACTTAGTATGTACAGATCTTAAAATAAGAGTCAATTGCCTAATGCTTAAGTTTAGCAATATTTCAAAAGCATCTCTTTTCTGATCTCCTCTTCCACATACTGCTGTTGCAGCCACACCTGCTCCTTTTAGTCTTCTCACCTTTCTAAAGTTGTGCAAGTCTTAAGCAGCCTGTCCAGCCTCCCTTTTTTAATCAGCATTCATTTAGATGTTTTTTCTGTAGCCTGGTGTATGGGCACAAACATACCAAAATCATAGGCCTCACATTTTTTTCCTGATGTAGTTCATGCATAAAACCAAAAAAAATTAACCAAAATCTTAAAGCACAGTATATATTTTACTTCAATGAACTTTAATACCCTTCTGCAATCAGTACAATTAACCGAGTTCAATAACTTCATTTCCTCAGAGCCTTTTTTTCCCATTAAAGTAATCATAAGGTTGAAAGGATCAAAATTCTTGTCAACATTTAGCAGATACTGTTATGACAGCAATTTGTAGACTAAGTCAAACTAAAGACAAGTCAGTGGAGTTATTAATAACCTCTCTTCCTACTAAAAAAAATGTTTTGAAAATAGAAGTAATAATTTCACTTTCAGTTCATACTAAAAATGAATAAGATTTAAAGATTCCAACAAATATCATGGTACTGTCTTCCCAATTTGTTCTGAGCAGGAAAACAGAAGTCTACTTGAAGAGATACTCTACACTAAGTTTGGGGTTTATTTATTCATTTATTCAAAATGCCCTTCCTCTGATTGAAATCTTTCACTGACACAAGAGAGGACGACAGCCCATTAATTAAATTGCACAAAACTAAATTAATTCCATCCAGGAATACACAGTGTAAGCAGAACTGTACACTTGATACCTGCCTACACCCCTGTTTTTTCCTCTCTGTATTTTATATTTCAGGATTGTTTTGCTATTTTCATTTCAACAACAGATGTCATGTCCAAATACAGGTAATTTTCTCCAGTGCCCTGGTACACAGGGAAACGTCTTGGGAACATATTCTGTTTTAAACCTAGTAAACGTAGTTTCAAGTTTCAAAGAGCTACTCTTTCCTTTTCCTCTACACTTGAAGATCTAACAATCTACTAAAAAAAAAAAAAAATTTCGCACCATCTCCCAATACCTGAGCACAACCACTTAAATTCTTGCTCTGATTATCAACAGGCATTCAGAGTTTTCTTTAAAATCCAAGGTTCCAGCATAATACCTGCTTTTTCAACCATTCTACCTCAATAGAAGTGTGCTCACTTCTATTTTTCTTGTCAGAGTTTTGTTGTGCTGAAAGGAATTCTAAGAACTCAAAGCCAGCAAATGTAATTAAAGTACTGAAAGCTTAGCTAACATATAATGGGCATTGAAGGTCTGTTGAAACAGTCAAAACAAAACTACTGGATCAATTAAGCAAAGGCACGTGCCCTACTTTTACTAATACTTCTGAGTAACTTTAAAATAAAAAAGAAAAGCTGTTTTAATGATTAAGACAAGCTTTAGTTACTTTATCGACTGCTCTAAACTTCAGAAGCTGAACGTGTTATACACATACTCTACAAGGAAAAAAGTTTTAATTATCTTTGCTTCATTAAAAAAACAAACAACCCAAAACAGTATTTTAATACAGAATTCTCAAACACCAGTATGAAGAAAATAGTAAATACTCTGAACAGTCTTAATGTTTTTATGGCTTTTGATAAACCAGAGCCCTCAAATTTTACGGGCAGATGCAAAATTTACCACCTGTAAGGCAGCTTAAGGAGTTAACTCCAAGACCTTATCTAACTGAGACAATGAAGCAAGAAATGTTACTTTTCCTTTGCCACTTAGGGTCAATGTCCTCCAAACCAATGCTTGCCTACCACACTAAAAGGCAGGATAGATATTCTGACATTCATATAAAAATAATAAAGTTGTGATGCAGGTGGTAGTTCATGAACTATTGATAGGCAGTTAACAGGCTCCAACACAAAATGGCTAGGAGTGATGGAAAGTTTGTTTCCCACAGAAGGGAGTAACGGTGGAAAGTGCCTGCCTACAGGATACCCTTCGTTCTAATGTTCTTTTAATAAACAAGAGAACTGGTTAGAACTATTGCTGAAGCCTCATTGCTCTTTGTTTGTAAACTGTATTTCTCCTCCCCATCCCACAATTCCCTTTTTTACAAGAGCTAAGGTCTTTATGACAGAAGCTCTACTTCTGCTCCAATCAAGCAACTTGGAACTTTTAATGATTCAATTGTGTCACCGAATTCTCTTGCAATTCTCCCTCCTTTCATGGGGAAACAATGCAGTATCGCTATTTTATGGTCCTCAGCGTCCAGTTTTGTAGGACATCTTACAGATCTATTGAAGAGACCTCTTGTCAAGCCAACATTCTAATGAAGACTGGATGTTAATCTCCAGATTTCACCAACAGTTTGTCTCCTCTGCAAGAACAGGCTGGCAGTCCCTTTTTTTGTTTATTTGTTTGCTTTTTTATAAATGCCTCAATTCTCATCTCAAGGTCTTAAGAGTGGCTGCCAGATGGTGGGGTAGAATCACTAATGTACAGCCATAGGTGAGTCAAAAATAAATACTACAAATTTGAGCAATCATTTCTCCGTCCCTCCACCAGTCAGTAGCAGCAGTAACTGGTACAGACCCATCAGTGTTCCACTACAAAACAGATATTCAGCAAACCTAAGTTTTATCAATAAAGCACAGTTCAGTTGCTTTGTTGATGAAGGTGCATTAGAGTTCCTGTTTCTTTTCGCTAACCACAGTGGAGTCAGGTGCAACAGGAACTTTATTACTTCCAGCAAAAACAGAATCAAAAGCAGCCTCCTGCTCCTCTAAAGTCACAGTAGCAGTAGATCCTTTAACAGATGGGCTGGTAAAGGCTGGCCGTTGTTCTGTAACCTTTTCCAGGTCCACTGTTTTCCTACCTCTTCTTTTGCCCAGGATTTTGATGTAATTAGCGGGCACAAGTCCTGTTGTTTGGCCATCATAACTAGCCAAAAGCCAACCACGGATTTTAGGTTGTTGTTCTGAAGAAGAAAATGCAAATGCATCAAGTTAGAAAACAATTCAAAATATATTGCAGTTGAGGCACAAATGCACCAGAAGGTAGATGACACAACAGCTCATCACACAAAGAAAGTAACTCTGTGATAAAAGGCAAATTGCTTCACGAGATAAATGATTAGGATGTGCACTGGTGAGTTGAGCGGAAGGGTATTGCAAAGGACAGGTTGTTCTGACAGCAATTATCCCACCATACTGCACACACATAGGGATCTTCATAGTTGTGCAGCACATGTGAGTAAAAGGTAACCACAAGGGTAACCACAAATCACTCCCTGAGTAAGTTTAAGCTGTATCATATCTTAGGGAAATTGAACAAAACTACTAAAGGGGAAAAAAAAGAAAGAAGAATCAGTGTAGATGAGGAGTTGGGTCAAATAAGGTGGGGGATTTTTTTGTTTTCATTTTCAGACTCTAACAATATGACTTACTTGACACGTGATTAGAAAATAAATACAAAATTAAAAGTTTACCTTTGGGTGCTAATTTTAGCATGTCACCAGCACGGAAGGAAATTTCTTCTTCTGAGAGAGCACTGAAATCATATTCTGCTCTTCCAACTACATGATCATCTTCTCCACTCGCCCAGTTACTAGATACTGTTTCCAAAGAGAAATTAAAAGTTTATCTGCTTTGAATTATAAAGTTTGGTGGGTTTTTTTAAAGGAAAAAGAAGAAACCACTTTAACTTCCTTGCTAAAACTTTTCCTCTAGGGAACTGACAGGAGTAACAAAGCATGATTTGCTGAGTCAGTCCAACCAATGCTTCTTCCCCCACCCCAGCTGCCACAGGAAAGGAAACAGAAATATAAAGAAACCATGATTTTGGAATCACACAAAGCTTCCCATGAAACTGCATCCTAACCCAACAACAGGCTATTTAAACAGGCAGTTACTTGTGTCACACGCCTAAAATTCAGTATTGTACCTCAGTACAGTATTAACTTCTAGCACTGCAGTGTAAGATTGATCTCTATGACACATGATAACAAAAGGAACAATATATGCAGCACTTCTCTCGTGCTACAGATCATCTTTACCTGTTTCTTCATCACTGTATGTAGAAAGCAGTTTCCAAATCAGATAGGGACCTCCCATTATAACAGCAAAAAACAAGAAAATGGGCCAGGATTTTGCAGAGTTAGCCACCTTATCTTCAAGGCCAACGCGAGCTACTGTCCCCTCACTTTCAGCCCACAAATCTTCATTCTCAGAGCTCTTTCGCAGACCCAGTAATCGCTGTAGGCGTTGGTAGAGATACCTTATAGTTCTCACTAAAGCAAAAGCTGAAAACACCTTTGTGAAGTGCACTTTGAGGCGGGAGAAGTGGTTGGCTACATCCAACACAGCTCTGAAACTGTTGTACACAGCTGAAAATGTAGCATCCATCATCATGCTGACTGAGGCAAACGCATGCACAATACTTTCAATGGACTGAAATGCACCTCTGCTGCTCTCTTCAGCCTGCTGAACAAACCTGCTGGGAGGGATATCGTCTGCACGAAAGCGGTTATAACCCAAACCACCATATCCGTAACTGTAAGGGCTATAGCTTCCATAAAAAGAGGTTCCATATGAACCATAGCCTGGAGAAAAAGAATTGCTATAGGCTGGCCTTAAAGTGCTCAGACTACTGCTTCCTGTTTGCTGTGACGGTCTTGGTAAAATAGGCGGAGGTATTCGTGCAACTGTGGGTGGTCCGGGCCTGGTCAGCAGGTTGTCACCCAAGTCAGCAGACCTAAACAAATTCAGACAAGCAAGATCAGTACTCAAAACAAGCTTTTCTTTTCCCCAGAGTTCTTGGCTAACTATATAAATAAGTGCATTTCAGTAGTAGTAGGATAGGGAATCTGGTAGCCAAACACTCAGTATTATGTTGCACAACATTTGTGGGAAGTAAAAATTCTAGTCAGGAAATAGAGGTCTTCTGGGGAAAAAAATACCATAACATGATATTCAGTGCAAATGCAGAATCTAAGTGTATCTGTGACGTACACATGGAAAAACTCTCAGTCTATTTATGACATTAACTAAGAACACATGAAACGCTACACCTAGATCCATCAAACCCGATGCTGTAACACCTACATGTTATGGCTCCTGCACCCAAAAGCCTCTCATGCACTACCAAGAATATTTTTGAACTTTGCTGTCTAAATGCTTTATTTCCAATACTTGTTCTCAGCTGTTCTATACAATCAGCTAATGGTTCAGGAAGAAGTCTGAGAGCTCCTCTGAATCCACCCTGAAAAGGGTGGTGTGACCTAATTGAGAATACAAGTAATTACACAACAACATATGCAAGGACTTGGGGTCCCCCAATTTCCCTCTCTACCCAAACTAATTACCTTTATGCAGCATATCAAAGGATTGAATCTATTACTGCTAATTGTAAGCAGAAAGAGTTATTACAAGTCAATTATTTGGTTTTTATTTTGTAAACTTTTATTCCTTTTTATGCCTGTAAGTTAAAGTAATTTTATCTATGCCCTTCATAATAAGACTCTGCAAGTACTAGACTAGTATTTGAACTCTGTCCAGCAGCTGTCCAACTTTTGCTGCTTCATTAAAAAACTAATCACATCTTATCATATCACTGCTTTCAGTGAAAAGCATGCTTGCTCTACTATTTCTGTATACAAGGTAGGGAACAACTTCCTCTCAGCAAAACTTAAGAGGTCTCCATAGCAAAGAAGAGTATTTATATCTTTACACTGTTTGGTTTGTCCATCAAAGACTTCAACTCTCTTAGCAGTTAAAAACAGAAGGAAAAAAAAAAGATTTTATCACAGAAAACAGAGGTACATTAGTAACTTATTAGGTCACACTACATTCCCCCCTTCCCAACCCTCAACTTTGGACACCTCACTTTAAAGCTCCTTGAAGCAATTTAAAATAAGCTAGATAACCCCACCGAGAAAAATTAACATCAAATTTCTTGCTCAGCATGCTTCAGCTGAAAGCAGCAACGCTGCTGTTGAATGTTTAGCCTTGGCTTAACCTTTTGCCCAGTTTCAGCTCAGTCTAGTTGCAGTCTCTAGCACCAAATGAAAACCAAGGCTGATCTTCAACCGCCAAGCTGTCCTTGATTTCTTATAAAAAGGAAGGGGTTTACAAACACTTTTTGTACAACATTCTTCTCCGTGAGCAGGTTGTATTTTCTAAGACTCAGATTCTGGGGTGAACACACCAGACACAGTTATCTTTTCCAGTCCGTGGGGATAACACGCAGCTTCTCCACTCGTGGAGAGTCACACAGGCTTACCCAGCTATATAATCCCCAGAAACGGGCACCCGTGCTCCGTCCGCTCGTGACAACACGCATAGCTTTACCTTCACTACATTAAACACGCAGCTTTCTACACGCACGGGTAGGCTTTGAGACCGGGGGTAGGTTTTGAGGGCAGTACCTTACGGCAGCCTCCCTCTCCTCACTGAGAAGGGGAAGCTACCAGAGACCCCTCCCCGAGAGCGGGAGGGGGGGTGTGTGTGTCATACAACCCACCCCTCAAAAAAGCAAAACGCTCCCAAACCCCCTCAGCAGGTAACCCAAACCCCCTCAGGCTCTGCTCCGGCACTAGCAAGCGGAAGCACTGGCCGGCTGGGCCCGACCTTTGAGCTAGCCTCAGGGGAGAAGGCCGAGGCGGGAGAAGTGGTTGGCTACATCCAACACAGCTCTGAAACTGTTGTACACAGCTGAAAATGTAGCATCCATCATCATGCTGACTGAGGCAAACGCATGCACAATACTTTCAATGGACTGAAATGCACCTCTGCTGCTCTCTTCAGCCTGCTGAACAAACCTGCTGGGAGGGATATCGTCTGCACGAAAGCGGTTATAACCCAAACCACCATATCCGTAACTGTAAGGGCTATAGCTTCCATAAAAAGAGGTTCCATATGAACCATAGCCTGGAGAAAAAGAATTGCTATAGGCTGGCCTTAAAGTGCTCAGACTACTGCTTCCTGTTTGCTGTGACGGTCTTGGTAAAATAGGCGGAGGTATTCGTGCAACTGTGGGTGGTCCGGGCCTGGTCAGCAGGTTGTCACCCAAGTCAGCAGACCTAAACAAATTCAGACAAGCAAGATCAGTACTCAAAACAAGCTTTTCTTTTCCCCAGAGTTCTTGGCTAACTATATAAATAAGTGCATTTCAGTAGTAGTAGGATAGGGAATCTGGTAGCCAAACACTCAGTATTATGTTGCACAACATTTGTGGGAAGTAAAAATTCTAGTCAGGAAATAGAGGTCTTCTGGGGAAAAAAATACCATAACATGATATTCAGTGCAAATGCAGAATCTAAGTGTATCTGTGACGTACACATGGAAAAACTCTCAGTCTATTTATGACATTAACTAAGAACACATGAAACGCTACACCTAGATCCATCAAACCCGATGCTGTAACACCTACATGTTATGGCTCCTGCACCCAAAAGCCTCTCATGCACTACCAAGAATATTTTTGAACTTT